ACAACTGTGTCACCAACAACAACAGGTCCTGCAACTACAACATCTAAGGCACCAAGTACAACTGCCGTAACATCAACCACAACAACAGGTGCTCCAACCACTATAACAACTGCTCAAACAACACAACAGCTGTTCAACCACAACCAGTGAGTGCACCAACCACAACTGCAGCAGCACAAACCACAACAAGTGTGTCACCAACAACGACAACAGGTGCTGCAAGTACGACATCTAAGACACCAGCAACAACGTTGGTCGCATCAACCACATCAAACGTTGCGCCAACCACAATAACAACTGCTCACATGTGGTTTGTGCCACTGCAGTTGTGGTAGGAGCAGCTGTTGTTGTTTGAGCAGTTGTTATTGTGGTTGGAGCAACGTTTGATGTGGTTGATGCAACCAACGTTGTTGCTGGTGTCTTAGATGTCGTTGTGGTTTGTGCTGTTGCAGTTGTGCTTGGTGGTGTAATAGCTGTAAGTAGTGCAGCTGTGTTCGTTGTCGGAGTAACTGTTGTAGTGGTCAGTGCTGCTGTGGTTGTTGTTGGTGCCACTGCGGTTGTGGTTGAAACAGCTGTTGTTGTTGTTTGAGTAGTTGCTATAGTGGTTGGCACAATTGTTGTTGTGGTTGATGCCACCACGGTTGTACTGGGTGCCTTAAATGTCGTAGTTGCAGCACCTGTTGTTGTTTTTGTTGGGGACACAGTTGTTGTGGTTGGTGCTGCTGTGATTGTGGTTGATGCCGCTGCGGTCGTGGTTGGATCAGTTGTTTTTGTTATTTGAGCAGTTGTAATTGTGGTTGGAGCAGCTGTTATTGTGGTTGGAGACGTTGTTGTCATGCTTGGAGCAGATGTTGTTGTTGGTGCCTCAGTTCTTGCTGTGGTCGGTGCTGCAGTTGTTGTGGGTGATGTACAGGTTGGTCCACTTGTTATGGTACCAACATTCTGCATGAAAGGTAGAAAATGTAGGCCTGAAGCAGCTGCACACAAGTTTGTAGATGCACAGCCATAAGCTGGAAAAGTCTTGGTGCCGTCGTTCACTGCAGGTGAAACAGTTTGGAAAATTACAGATATTTTTATGTTATGATGTCATGATACAGCTTTATTTTTAAAGCATTACTCAAAACATCTTAAAAATCTGTTTGCTGATATACCGTTTCAGTTTAATTTGTAGTTAAATGCCACTTGGCAAGTGATAAGACATGTCAAATGGTAAAAGAACGTATAATTGATAAGAGCAGTTAACTGATTTTTCCATCAACAAGAAATCAAAGTGCTACTCTTGATATTTTCATGTGTATTTTCTTTCCTTGACTCTTGTTTTGATGGACATTTATTTAGTTCTTCAGCTGCTGTGTTAAACAAATAATTAGTCATGACAATAACTGTCAGATTAATCCATACTTCCATACTAGAAATATTACAATATTTTTTAAAACAGTTTGGGGATTATTTGCTAACTAATATATCTGTGTTGCAGTCAAATCTGTAAAATTTAATAAAGTGATTAATGATCAAATGTTGATAGTCATCTTTAAAGATTTAAACTTCAAAATAATTTTTTTTAGAAATACTGATAAAATGCTTTTTATCTGATAAAATGCTTTTTATCAGTATTTCTTCCATTGGCTGTTAAAATAAATTCAACCAACATTCCTTTTATAAAAAGAATGTTCGCTGAAGTTATTTTAGGCAGAAAAAATAATTTTAAGATTATCTTTTTTGAAAAAAAATGATGAAGACTCACTCGTTGATTGAAAGCATTGGTCCTCCACTCCTTGACATTGTATTGGAGTGTTGCACAAAGGGTTGGAACAAATGTTACATAGCTGGCCGTTACTTGACTGAGGAGTAGGAGCTGAAACAGAAAAGAACATAATTTCAATTCACAACAGAGAACATTTCAGCAGATATCAGAATATTGTTTCTTATTAAGTGTGCCTATGCCAAAAGGCACACTTATTACTGTTTCTCCGATTTAGTATTCTTATTATTATTAGTTTCCTTTTTCCGCCTGTGGTGTGTTGGCTCACTCTAGTGGTATGCCAGCAGTAGTACGGCCTGTCTACCCTTATTTGGATTTTTTTTTTTGTAGCCGTATGAATGTCAAACTACACTCATTGGCAGGGGCATAGGCACACTTAAAATTTCTTCAGAATATTTCGCTTTCATAGTTCTCTTTCTGTTATTGTGTCTTTAATAAAACACTTATTGATTTGTGCTTACCAGCCAGAGTTTGTGAGTTGCAGTTATCTGTGTTGCAGCACGTGGCAGATGCAAGAGCACTTTGAACACCCAGGTCGACTGAAAATGTCTGAGAGCCCATAGCTGGACACAGGGAGGAAGATGCACATGCCTTGTAGATTTCTGTTGTTGTATTTCCAGATGAGGTAGCTGCAAATTCACAGTGTGGTTCATTAATGTTGATGAAAAGTACATATAACCTCACAGTATTTGCAATTTACTGAAGTGTATCACATAATATCAAGAGAAGATTACCTAAAATAGTAGCTGTAACACACATCTTCCCTGAAGAACATGTAATCGGTACTGTGCTTGAACACGTCTGATCTGTGCATGTTTGACACTGAAGGGCTCCAGCTGCAATCAGGAGAGAAACATTGAAAGGACTGAAGTTAAAATGAAACATTACAGGTTTTTGAATACCCCAGTATACTGGCATTATTAAAGTCTTCATCTCTTCTATTTCTTTACACTGTTACAAAGATTGATGAAATGCTGTTAATCTCTGTATCTCTGTATAAATAAAAAAAAATGGATAGGAAACACTAAATTAGAGTTAATTTAAGGTTAATGTATTAAGGATAATTAAACCATGGAGGCCTACTCTAAAAACTGTCACGCATATAACAGACTATGAATCTATATTTAAAATGTTATAATTTTTAGGGCATGTATATCAACACCATGTGGAGCACCTGTTGTCGTGGTTGGTGTAGCTGTGGTTGTGGTTGGAGCAGCTGTTTTTGTGGTTGGTGCTGCAGTTGTTGTGGGCAAAGTACAGACTGGTCCGCTTATTATGGTACTGACATTCTGCATGAAAGGTAGGGAACCCAGGCTTGAGGCAGCTGCACACAGGCTTGTAGACGCACAGCCGTGAGCTGGGAAAGTGTTGACACCGTCGTTCACTGCAGATCAAAAATCAGAGTTTGAACAATTTCAGTTATTTTTATGTTATGATGTTATGATATAGCTTCATATTTAAAGCATTACTCAGAACATCTTAAAAATCACTTGATGCATGTTCAATCATTCAAGTAAGTAAGTGGGAGTGGGAGAAATGTTTTGTCACTGATCCAAGTTACTTCTTCAGTCCCATCTGACTGCAGGTTTCCCCAACCTTATAAACAGTACATTTGCACAATGACAGTAACTAGCCTACTGAATGAACAATGGGCTGTGAGGTCAGTTCCTTGATCATTAAGGATGACTGACAAAATGTTTCTTCCACTGAAAATGTTATGTCCTGATGAACAGAATCAACCTTTTGCGATCTTAAAAATCAATTTGCTGAGATTCAGTTTAATTTATTATATTATGTGGTTCAATGCCACTGGGCAAGTTAAAAGAGATGTCAAATGGTAAAAGAACTGATAAATTTATTGCTGTTCTCTGCTTTAACAAAGCCCTCGAGGCAATATTGACTACAGCTCTTTTACCAGTTCACACACACATTCATACAGCAGTTTTATAGTTGGCCTTTTTCGTGCTCTAACTGTTGCGTGTAACACTATTGATGCATCAGGGTAATTTGAGGTTCAGAATCTTTCATTTTCACATGCGAACTGTAACCATAAAACATATCATAAGACAAACATGACTGTGTAGTAGCCAGTGACCATCAAAAAAAGTACTCAGAGCATTATAATTGAAAATGTTTTTCTTTTTTATGCCCTAACACACCTGTCACAGTAATTTATTATCAAATATATTGTATTACTTTTTTTATTTAGAGCTTATAATCTATTTCTCAGTCAAAAGAAAATCATTAAGCTACACTGTAGATCATCTGTAGAGTTGTGAGCATTGACCATTGTTATTGGTTTGTAAATGGTCAGAGAAGCTGATCTAATGTACTCCATAGTACTCCATGGAGTCCTGGCATTCCATACTCCAGTGGGTAGCATTTTCTGAGAACATCTTTAATGTTAAATAATGAAGAAACATTTAGATTTATAGATGCAAGGCCATAAGCTGGAAACATTTTGGTGGCATCATTAACTGTGATTTACTAAAGAACTAATTCAGCAGATTTTTTTTCCTGATTCTATATTTCAAACATAAATATCTTTCACATAAAGAGTAATTTAACATATTTTAATGTGCTCTGTTTGCTGACAGTCTGAAACTTCAAATCTCACTGCAGAGACTTTTGGGTGTACTCTAAAACCTGAGAACACCACTAAAGGGTGTAGTTGTTTGTTCAGCATTTCTGATGTCATAATACCACATCCACTGGTAAACATTTTTCAATTGAAGAGAAGAACAGAGCCTGATTTTCCCTCATTGTTTTGGTGACTTTCACAATAATGCTATTGAAAACATGTACTCACAATGTCAGAAGCCAAAGTGATTTCCTATGAACGAACAGTGTTCCTACACTGTTAAAAAAACATCTTAAAAAAACAGTAATATTCCAGCAGCTGGGGCGCCAAAATACTACCGTAAAATAACAGAAAATAACTTTCTCATGAAAATACAGTTAATTTCAGTAATGAAAATAGAGTTTGTTGTGCTAATCTTACATGGGGTTCTGCCTTTTCCAAGTGCGTTTAGACATTAAATTAGGAACATTTTACGTGATCAAACAATGAAATTACCTATAAACAAGGTCAATGAATGTGGCAATATGAATCATAATACGTAAATGTACAGAAATATACAGTTAACAGTTGGTTTAAATAATAATGGGTTGCATGCCCTGGGACAGAGGCAAGGCTGCCATATCGCACCATCGGCCCCTCTGATACATTTGTGAATGTATTTTAACAATCTAAATATGCATATGTACAGACAGATACATTTAATAATCATAACAATTATGTTTTATTACATTACAGTGATTTAACGTTAATTTACATTTGAAATGTGAAATCACAGTCTATTTATGTGACTTTAATGATATTCTAGAAGAACAGAACATTACTGTAAAATACACAGTAAAATACTTTTATATTAGGATTTTTTCCTACAATGCTGCCATACCCGCAACCTTGTGGTTGTTAGTTCACATTCATTGGCCGATGCTTAGCGTCATGTTATTATGTGTCCCAACATCCAATGGCATGTCACATTGTTTTCATGGCCACACCCTCACCCCAGGTGCAGAGGCCTATTTCTGTTCAGGAATGTTGTGAATACTTTGAGATTTATATTAATTGCAATTCCTACCTTTACATTTATTTTTTAAAAGTTATTTTACCTTTGACATGTAAAATCACTGTCTACTTATGTAAATTTAATAATATTCTAGAAATACAGTACAAAACTGTAAAATATACAGTAAGATACTTTGACATTACTATTTTTTGGAACAGTGTACACTGGGTGTTCTATCATCATGTAAACTGCGTTTTCATTTAAAGTAGGTAACTGATTTTTCCAAGAAATGAAAGTGCTACTCTTGATATTTTCATGTGTATTTTCTTTACTCTGCTGTAGTTTTGATGGACATTTGTCTGTTTGTCTTCAGCGGTTGTTTTAAACAAATGATTAGTCACGACAAAAAGTGGCAAATTAATCAATACCTCCATGCTTCAAATATTGAAATATTTTTAAAAACAGTTTGGGGAATATTTGTTAACTAATATATTTATGCGTTGTGGACAAATCTGTAATCTTTCAAAAGCTGATTAATGAGCACATCTTAATTGTCATCTTTAATGATTCAAAGTACAAGTTAACATCTATTACAAATATTGATAAAATGCTTGATAATGTTTCCAGTGACTGGTTAAAAAAAACAAAAAAAACCCAAACTTTGTTAATGTTATTCTAGGCAGAAAAAAATATTTTAAAGCTGATCTTTGTTAAAGTATACATCAAGAAGACTCACTGATTGATTGAAAGCATTGGTCCTCCACTCCTTGACATTGTATTGGAGTGTTGCACAAAGGGTTGGAACAAATGTTACATAGCTGGCCGTTACTTGACTGAGGAGTAGGAGCTGAAACAGAAAAGAACATAATTTCAATTCACAACAGAGAACATTTCAGCAGATATCAGAATATTGTTTCTTATCTCTTTCTGTTATTGTGTCTTTAATAAAACACTTATTGATTTGTGCTTACCAGCCAGAGTTTGTGAGTTGCAGTTATCTGTGTTGCAGCACGTGGCAGATGCAAGAGCACTTTGAACACCCAGGTCGACTGAAAATGTCTGAGAGCCCATAGCTGGACACAGGGAGGAAGATGCACATGCCTTGTAGATTTCTGTTGTTGTATTTCCAGATGAGGTAGCTGCAAATTCACAGTGTGGTTCATTAATGTTGATGAAAAGTACATATAACCTCACAGTATTTGCAATTTACTGAAGTGTATCACATAATATCAAGAGAAGATTACCTAAAATAGTAGCTGTAACACACATCTTCCCTGAAGAACATGTAATCGGTACTGTGCTTGAACACGTCTGATCTGTGCATGTTTGACACTGAAGGGCTCCAGCTGCAATCAGGAGAGAAACATTGAAAGGACTGAAGTTAAAATGAAACATTACAGGTTTTTGAATACCCCAGTATACTGGCATTATTAAAGTCTTCATCTCTTCTATTTCTTTACACTGTTACAAACGATTGATGAAATGCTGTTAATCTCTGTATCTCTGTATAAATAAAAAAATGGATAGTGGTGTAACACCACCTAGTGCGAGAAAAGAATCTGACCACAAGATTAGATCAGCTCTTATGGAACATTAAGGTTAAACTTTAACACCAAGCTATCTCTGGGTTAAGTCTGTTTTTTCAAAGCACACCCAAACAGTTTACAAGATAACAGGTTACAACATTCACATGACACCACACAGTGAATATGAGTTTCTATTGAATGATGAATCTTAATATCCATTAGCATGCTCATTTCAAATTCACTTTCTGTAGATTTGTTAATTGCTCTTCCTCATTTCTAACATGAAGTAGACCTGATCCGCTCAGTGAAATAATTTGGCCAAACTAAACGATTTTCACATCAGTTTTGCAAACAGAATCAGCAACAGAAGTTGCAAACTAAAAGAAGGAAATACGATTTCCGAAAATCATGGCATTTCTTTCTGTGAGGCTCCTGGGTTTTTTTTGCGTGTGTGTATCTTTTTGTCGTTTTATTGTTTTTTGTTGTTGTTGTTGTTGTTTTTTTTTTTGTTTTTTTTTGGGGGGGGGGGGTTCACATGCATTAATCGATTTTCCTACTGATAGATCCTAAATAATAAGAAAAGTCCAGTTACCTGTGCTGGAGTGTGCCCAGAGGAGAATCAGAGTAGTCAACTTCATTGTGATGAACATTTCAGTTTTGCAGATTAGTTTCCCTGGACTGTGATACTAAATCTCAGGAGCACTCCTACACTTTATATACTGAACAGGTGAGCTTAGGATTGGGTGTGTTTATATTTTTACAGCATGAACATCAGACGCTCATCTCCTCTTTTGTCAAATCATTCTGCTAGTGCACGTTACCACACCCTTGTTCAATTGCACATTTAAACAAAAAAGGGTATGCAACCGCTTTTTATACAAATTATAAATGAAAAACTATGATGCGTCACTGACCCTTTTCTATTTTTGCTAAACATACATCTTTAGCTTTTCTTTATTCGCCAAATTAAGATGAGTCCATGAATACCTGTTGATAAAAGCTGGCAGAGAGTATGGAATGAATAGTCATGGTGAGATATTTCCTACCTCACACTACATGAATTACCCCTCAAAACCTTTTGACAATTTAAGCTAGAGTTTGGAAACACTGTCAGTTTAGGGAGATATTGCTGCATCTATCTTTTAAATGATGCATTTATTCCCCATTGCTCTTTTCTAAAGGCTTAGCACAGCAAACAAAGTTTTGGCTATAAGAAGCACTAACCATTGAAGCTTTTCTGTCTACATGTAGTTAAAGCCATAATCAATGCAAATCTGTGACTGAGATACAAACAGCCAAACCTTATATTTAAAGGCTGGCCGCCTTAAAAAAAATGAAGGACTGATATACCCACACTTTTTTATTGCAAAAGTTTGGCTCCCTTGTACTTTTGTTGTTCCTGCTAATCTGCAATGTTGATAAACCAGGTAACCGGTGTGTTCAGGGAAGTTAATCGACAGATGCTTTAAACTGCTGCAGGAGCAGGTGTGGCAGCAGTCTTACCTTGAGTATCACATTAACATTTGTACAGTGAAGGAACTGCGCTTTTACTTGATTGCTCTAGTTAAGTATATTTTAGCTCAAACATTTGTTTTATTTTTCATAAATTGAAAAGTATATTTTGCAATTTGTTCAGTCTGCTAATAATGTGTTACTTTGACACATCACCAAGTACAGATGAAACTGTGACTCTAATAAAAGCTTAACATTTTTGACAGTATTTAGTGTAATAGGTTAAACAATAGGAAACACAGGACTGTTTCCCAAACAGCACAGTTCTGCTTTTTGATGACTTTGCCGCACCCTCTCTTATTGTGGGAAAACCCATTTATATCTTAATAATAGCATGTTGAAAATCAAACATAAGATATTCTTTGTATCGGGTATGCGTGTGTGTCACAGGCACACACACCCCTGCCCTATGCACGTCATGTTTTTTTGTTTTTTTTATGTTGGCTCTTGTTGTGTGTGTTTTGTGCATCTATAAAGGGACAACAAAGAGGGTTGATTTTCATGCAGGATGTTTTTATTTGAGATTATGGTTATTCTTGTTATTCAATAGCTATTGTGGAGATCAGGGAAATATTTTACTGCTACTATTCATAACCATTATCATTACCATCACATTAATTATCATTTCATCAAAGCATTTATTCAATAGATTACACATGTTCTTAGTTAAGATGATTACACCTATCACAGAGAGCTTCTGTCTGGGAAAAGGTCAGAAGCGTCAACGGGCGAGGTGAGGCCAAGTGCATTTTGAGGTCGAGACACACACACACACACACACACACACACACACACACACACACAAACAGTAGTTAGACTCATGTTTAGGTAAGAGTTCAAATAATAGTTTGCAAAACCGTGTAACTGTAAGATTATGTTTGCATAAGGGACAGTTTGTTCCAGGAGATAAGCGAGAGTTAGAAGATTAATAGGAAGCACCTGGCCTCGATCGTCTCGAGGCCAGGTGCTTCCTATTTAATAGGGCATCTTCTTCGTCAGAAGATGCCCTATTAAATGTGTCAAAAGTCGTCAACAGAACATTTGTGGTTTTGAAACTTATGCATGTATTGTATCTGCTTTGACACATGAGGGGGCATCATAAATAATACCCTGATGTTATAAAAAACACTGCTTGTGTATTATTGGGCGGAGATCGATGCTGTCTGTGTGCAGTGTTCATCTCCCCACGTGTGTGTTCATTAAAATCATTGTTTGACCGACTCTCCTGGACCAATTGTTGTTTTTTGTGCTCACCCTCAATATTTGAACCCGTAGCACTATTTTCATCAGACTTCCTCTGTACTCTATGAATCTAAGCTACTTGAGTCTTAGCTGTATCCAAAAGGTGTTCCAAAAGGTACCATATTTTGTGATATTGCATATTACCCAGACCTAAATTTACTGATCTTGTATTGAAAGTTTTGTCCCAGTGGCAGGTGAGTAGCACATTGGCCTTAACACTTGCATATGACTGGGTAGCTTTAGCCTGTGTGGTTCATGTTTTTGAAAACAGTTTTCAAGGAAATGCATCACTTTGTCTTGTATTTAAAGAAAAATATATAAGATTGGGATCCCCAGAAAATTGATTTTGTTCATCTGGACGTAGCGTTTTTAGTGGGAAAAACGTTTCCCATCCAAGTGACTTCTTAAGTCTCAGCTAACAGTAGGTTTCCCCAGCTTTATAAATAGTACGCCGGCAAAATGACCAAAACTAGCACTACTGAGAACAATGGGCTGTGAGGTTTTTGATCATTATTATGCAAATTGTCATGACCATTGATCAACAGCCACTGATCAAAGTCAGTTGAGCAGTGAACACAGAAAGGCCCCAGCCAGGTGATGGAATTAAAGTCAGGACCTTCTTTCACATTGCTGCCCTTTTTGTAGGCTTTATGTTTTAATCATTTTATATTTTGGTTCTGTATTGTTATTTAGCCTTCTGGCTAGCAGGCTAAGTTCACTTTCCTGGTCTTCTGCCTGTGTCAAGCTTGTGTGTGTGTGTGTGGGGGGGGGGGGAGTATTTTGAGCATTAAGAACAAGTCTCAAGATGTGTTTCTTATGTGTTCGTGCCCATAGTGACAATAGTTTGCATCATAACACAGAGTGAAAAGCTCATTTGCTCCCACCTGATGTGATGTTAGGGCGATATTTAGTTTCGCCAGTAGGTGGCAGTGGCAGCTCAGCCAAACGGGTAACTGGCAAAATAATCCTTCACAAAAGTAATGCAGGCCAGTTATTACAATGGAAGCCACCAGTAACACTGAATTGTTTTGCTGTGTTTCAGGTGAGAGCAATATACGAGCATTACATACATTTATGTAAAGTTGATGTTTAATTAACATGTTT